TTTAAGAAGATTAAAGAAGGAGAAGAAGATTGAAAGGGAAATCCACTAAATAATGCGGAATTGAAGCTTGGGCACGTAGCCATATGCTGTCTAATAGCATACTCATAGTAGGAAGAGTGAAAGGAGACTGACATAGCAAGAAGAAGAATATACTCTAAAACCCTAAAGCCCTTGAAAGCAAAAACAAGTTCTTCTTTAAAGGGAGAGGACCGTACAACATCTATCTTATCTTCTTGGTTCGCATATTATCTCCTCCCCGGGTCGCCATCCGTCATCAGTTCAGTCAAATTATGCATTAGTTATTCCCACAACACAAGTGTTTGTCTGAAGCAGGAGGCGGTGATTTTTGTTATTATTACTCCCTCCGTCCCACTTTGATAATCCTACTTTGATAATCCTGTATTCCTTTTTCATTGTCCCAAATTGTAGTCCACTTTCCAATTGAAGAATGTAGTTGTATTTTAATTTTTCTAAAATACCCTTATTCAATATAAGTAGTTGTTACTCTAAACCTACCCCATTTAATGAGAGTTGATTCTTTTTTTACCATTAATTCAAGTTCCCATAAAGTTGTACCATATTTAATGTGAGGGTATTTTAGAAAAATAGCAATCTAAATTTATTTTTCTAACAAAGTTAACTATTTTTTCTTAAACTGTGTGAAAAAAGAAATAAAACTATCAAAGTGGGACGGAGGGAGTATTATTTTTTGATAAAGTGAAGTAGAGAGCCAAGAGCCAACATTTATTCTTTTACATGCTTTGGTATTTGGATTGCTGCTTTTTGGTGAAAAATTTTTACGTTATCTTGAACGCATTTTAAATTATTTTTTAATTTCACATGTATCAAATTATTATAATATATTTTTTAATAAAAATAATAATCCAAACAAAAGTTTTTACCTCCTCTAGCACAAAAGTTTTTGTTGTATCGTACCATTGATGAGGAGGTTTTTTCATGGCAATTGGGAAGGGGAACTAGGAGGAATGGAGACTTTTGAGGTATTTTAAGACCAAAGTTTGGACAACTATATATGTTTGAAAAAAAAAAAATTCCTAATATAGGTGGGTTTAGATTTTAATGAAAAAAATTATGTGTAGATAAATTACCATCAATTTTGAATTTGAGAAGTGACAATCTTAAGTATCATTCTCGAGTTGCCTAATACTGAATAATTATATTTGTCTACTCAACTCATTATTCAAAAAAATAATTACTCGTATTTAATTACATCATGAACATGTTTGTGAATCGCCTTTTCCTCTTTTTAACCGCGAACATGTTTTTTGATATATAGATACGGTATAACATGCTACGAAAAATGTGCTAATTTTTTTTTTTTTTTCAGATAAATCTTGTGTCCAAATACGCTCACTCACCGCTAAATTGGAAGCTCAATTGGTTGAAGCTAATTGTCTGGAGCAGGCCTAACTGTGTAATTGTATAAACTCCATGTACGTCTTAGATGCTAGATCTCTAAGCGGATCCAATGCCTCGAACTAATGGGCCTTCAGTTTTCCCACTGGAAATACCTTGTTGAAAATCATTGTGGCCTACAACAAGAGGCCCAACTCAAATTATTCTCAGACCAACATATTTGTATGCCCGTGTCGACCCACCTAAAACCCAAACTTACCTTACCATTTTTCGTCTCCAGAAAACAGTGAAGCAAGCTGCAAAGCAGAGAGATTTTACGGTCCTCTGGGAGTCTTTCTTCGGGAGAGCAGCTGCAAAGAAGTGAAAAGTTGGAAGAAAACAAGAGCTAACAAAAAATGAATACAGACATCACAGCATCAGCAAAGCCAGAATATCCAGTGATAGATCGCAATCCACCCTTCACCAAGGTCGTGGGCAACTTCAGCACCCTTGACTACCTCCGCCTCACCACCATCACCGGCGTTTCAGTCACGGTCGGCTACCTCTCCGGTATCCGCAGGATCCTTTTGTCCTACTGTGTTCATATTTCAATAACCCATTGCTTCTTTTTATCTTTTCTTAGGTTAATTTGTTCTTCAATATACGCATCGTGGACTTGATCTTTTTTGGTCGTAAAAGTGAGATCTTTTTTCTTCTTTTTTTTCCTGTGCTTTCTAGGAATAAAGCCTGGGATAAGGGGGCCATCAATGGTGACTGGGGGATTAATTGGACTGATGGGTGGGTTCATGTACGCGTACCAGAATTCTGCAGGGAGGCTTATGGGATTTTTCCCTAATGATGGAGAGGTAGCCAAGTACAAGAAGTTGCTCTAGGGTTCTTGCCCTGTCTTGTGCTAATTTGTAGCATTTCTTTACATTTTCTAGAGATAGTTGAGGAAAGGAAGGAACTTTGTGACGGTTTTGGTGAAAAAGGTGCTATGAGAAATAATTAGACTCTGGCTACTCTTTGATTCGGATTGTTTTTGTTCTCAGTTTATATATTGATCATTCAAGATGCTTCTTTTACTCCCAATTTGGATTGTTGTCTTAGCCCTGCAGTTCTTAAGCTTTTCTTCTTCTTTTCCTTTTTAGCTGGACTCTAATTGGTGTCATTGTATTTTTGGGCTTTTTTGGGTTTCTGAAAGGCTTTCGCTGATGAATAGTTGATATATGAAACCGCATTGCCAAATATCTTGGAGTAGCATTGTCAAATGACTTCTGTTTTAGATCCCCTCATCTTTTCCTTTCTATCGAAAAAATAGAAAGATTTAAGTTGCTTAAGTTTGCTGTCTCGGTACTTGATTGAGACTTTATTTGCAGTGCTTGCTTATTGTCGTCGGTAGTGCCTAGGGCCTATGCTGGTCTTTGCTTATTGTGCTTGATAATTTGTCATGGTTACTCGTCCATCTCAACATTGAAGGTTTTATTATGATGAGAGCACTTAGAGCCCCTTTTTTTTAATTGAGAACTATATGATGCTCTAGGTCAATGGAAGTTGCATCTGTTGGCTTTATCATTACCTGGTTAATCGGACATATATTAGATGTTTCTTTTGGTTTTGCTAAAGTTATCCATAAGGAATGACAGTTTTTTAATATAATGGTTCTCCACTCTGGTCAGTTTATCGTTCATGCATGGAATATATGGTTCAAAAGTTGCTTCAAGGATGATTGCCATTACTGCAAGCATCGTTCTGCTTATATTGTAACCTGAATTGCACTTTGGTAAGTATGGACATCATAGTGAGTTCTATGAGTGGTCTCTTAATGTTATTTGAGCTCTGAATAGGAGTCTGTATTGATTCACGAACCAAGCATGCTTTGTTGAAGCTAGCATTTCGACAGTAGCTCATGAGTTTTCTGTAATCAAAATTGAGGTGCATACTTCTTTTTAGTTGTGACCATCAAAATCTATGTAGAGTTGATTTCTCAACAACAATGTACCCCTCATTCAAACCTGTTAGGTTTCCTTGTATGAAGATTAACACTTTGGATATTCTACTTTTCTTTTTCTTCCTTTGTTTCTTCTTACTACACTTCTTAATGATACTGACTTAAACAATGAGTTGATTGTCCTTATGAGTTAAAGATCCAAGCTTGTAGTAATGATTGCTCTTCTTTTATCTTCTCCAAATCCATGGTAATGCATGCCTTCGATTTTTGCTTTGGATGCAATGTATTCTGTCATCAGTTACGGGGCATGATGCATTTAACAGATGTCCAATAGAAAGAGCAAGGGATTATGGTTTAGATTTCAGTTTGCATTCACACTTGCAAATTGGTGAATAGTTCTACAATATACAGGAAGGCCATGATCCAGATGGGATTGTCTTGTTTATTGTCATATGTATGTGAATAAGCATCTTCCAGATGCGATGACACTGTTGGAAGCCAGCAGAAAGATTCGACAGTGGTCGTCACTGAAGTTGTGTGGTGTAAACAGGTGATGGTTAATCTTATTCCTCCTTAGGAAGATGGAAGAAAACAAGACATCCGGAGGGAAACAAAGACATCATAACTCATAGCTACATAACTGGTAACTCAGAATTAATCGGCCCTCTACTTTGTTTCCTGAAAGGGAATAGCAGGCTGGTAGGAGCATTTACTCCTAGCTCTATTTGCCTTAGCTTCATGAGCTTCAGAATGAACGAAAAGTAAGAGGGGACTTGAAGCTTTTAACTAACCTATTGTCAAGATTAATGGAGAAGCTGACTCGAATAGTGCAAATCGGACTCTGGCATTGTTGCTGGCGTAATAAAAATGCCCGCACAGACGGTTGACTATAGCTATAGTAGTACAAAATTCAGGAAGATTCTTAGGAAGTCGGGGGAAGAGTTGCGGATTGTTGCATTAAATACAATAAAATTTTCATCTTGGAAATTTTCAACGGGGTACGGTCCCATGACAAGAATCAAATGCAGCAAAGTCAGTACGGTCCGCTGGACACGTATAGAAGCTCTTCTCGTTTTCAACAGCCTATTCGATTCATCAAAGTTAACTTGTCATCATGTAGTTTAAGGCCACCAAACATCCATTACTGACTTTCATTGCTCAGGCTTCTGTTCAACTCTCCATCTGACTTATCGAACTCCTCAGAATCAATAGCTAAACCAAGTCCCGATCCAAGAAAATCGAAACCCATGTAAAATCTCCTCTTCTTTGAGTTCCCTGTCTATACTTATTCGGTTCTTCCTTGATCATCCAAACCAGACAATCCAAAAAACCAAGATGCAAACTTTTTTCCTCTCACTGATCCTCTTGTGCCTCGCTATTCCACCTCAGTCCAGAACGCTACCCCCTCCATCAATCCCACTTTACAAAACGCTCTTTCGTCTTTCCATCAAAATGAAAGTTAACTTGTCATTATGTAGTTTAAGGCCACCAAACATCCATTACTGACTTTCATTGCTCAGGCTTCTATTCAACTCTCCATCTGACTTATCGAACTCCTCAGAATCAATAGCTAAACCAAGTCCCGATCCAAGAAAATCGAAACCCATCTAAAATCTCCTCTTCTTTGGGTTCCCTGTCTATACTTATTCGGTTCTTCCTTGACCATCCAAACCAGACAATCCAAAAAGCCAAGATGCAAACTTTTTTCCTCTCACTGATCCTCTTGTGCCTCACTATTCCACTTCAGTCCAGAACGCTACCCTTCCATCAATCCCACTTTACAAAACGCTCTTTCCATCAAAATGATCGCAACGTTGCCTCACCGCAAGAATATTTTGAAGTCACCAAGCCACTTCCCTTCGACGGCGCCCACGCAACATGCACTCTCCCAATCCTCACTCACAATTTCAGCAACACTTACGGCCTTCCCCCCTTCTCCGTTCCTTACTTTCCGCCCCTGAATTGCATCTGGACTCACGTCACTCTCGAGATCCAAGCCTCTTGTCAAGGGGAGCAACACGACCGCATAGCCGCTCTCTGGCTCGGTGGAGCCGAGCTGATCCGCACCAGCACGGCTGAGCCCACAGCTGATGGAATTTTCTGGACGGTTAGGAAGGACGTCACCAGGTATTCTTCTCTTTTATCACAGAACAACCTTACTCTCTCCGTCATGCTTGAAAACATCGTTAATGAAGTCTTTACTGGCGTTTACCAAGTTAATGTTACCTTCCTTTACTATGATGCTAACGCCAAAAATGTTAAGCCTTTGTTAGCTTTGCCTTCAGAGAATTACTGGCCTAGTAGTAGGAAATTGAAATCTGTGTACAACCCTTTAGAACCACTGGTGGATTCTGAAAAGGGTTCCTTTGATTTACTATATGAGAAACCAGCGGATTTGATCATTCCTATTTCAGAGGTTGGAGATGAAGGGTATTGGTTTAGGATTCAGAATGAATCAGATATTCATTCCAGAGGAGTTCGAATTCCTCAGAATACATATAGAGCTGTGGTTGAAATTTACGTGTCATTTCATGGGGATGACGAGTTTTGGTACTCTAACCCTCCTGATTCATACTTAAAGGTGGCAAATGATGATGAGGCTCAGCATGTGAATCCTTCTGATTCATATGCAAACATGAATAAGGTGACTATGGGGCGAGGCCACGGTGCTTACCGTGAAGTTTTGGTGATGATTGATGGGAATCTTGTTGGATCAGTGGTACCTTTTCCGGTGATATTCACTGGTGGAATTAATCCCTTATTTTGGGAGCCAGTGGTTTCCATTGGAGCATTTGATCTTCCTTCATATGATGCAGAGTTGACACCCTATTTAGGCTTGCTTCTCGACGGGAAGGTGCATTCTTTTTCGCTTCGAGTGGCCGATGGTATTTCATTTTGGCTTGTGGATGCAAATTTGCATCTCTGGTTGGATGCTGGTTCAGAGGAGGTTCTGGCTGGAATTGCTTTTAGTTCTCCCGAGTTTTCTTTAGAGCGTGAATTGAAGTTTGCTGGGCTTGATGGAAAGTTTCAAATCGAGGCAGAGAGGGAGACTAAGATTTGTGGCTGGGTGAGCTCAACTGCTGGCAATTTTACTACCTCAGTTTCGCAAAAGTTGAAGTTCAAGAACTCTATAAAGTTTTATAACAATGGCACTCGGAAATTGGTTAAGCAGAAAGTGAAGGACAAGATTGAAGTGAGGATTGAATCTGGTACCGGTCACAGGATTCTCCATACAAAGACTAAAAGAACTTATCCGCTAAAAATTACCACTGAAACACTTCCTGGGGGAAATAATACTTATTCGATGATCGCTAGAGTGAAAAATTCGGTGAAGGAGAAGAAGACTGTGGGGGGTGCTAAAAGCACTTTGCAAAACAGCCAGAAGTCGAGTGGGTGGATGTCTGTCAAGGATCATGAAGTCCTTTCTGGTGGTGCAAGTACTGAGCAAAATTACAGTTACGAGGATGGGTTAGAATGCTACTCGCGGGTAGTTGAAGCTGAAAATGGTACTCTTCTTAAGGACGCTGCTAGAATTCTATGTGCAACTTCCTCTTAATTTTGCTTTTGGTTTGTTTTAAGAAATCTTTGTAGTTAAAACTTTTATGTGTGCAAATTCTGAAGTATCCCCTGGGGAATTCTGAAGCCCAGACTGAGTTAACCTAGATATACCGCGGTTGGTCCGGAAGTAGAAGCAAGCTGCCATAGATTGTTTGTGCTCTGCTGCAGTTTATCTGGACAGTTCTTGATTTAAACCGCTTGGTTTCAGAGGTTCTTTTAAGTTTTGTACAGCTACTTTAATCAGCTTTATTTACTTGTTTGTCCTAGCTTAATATACTTGATGGATGTTGGATGCTTTTTGCCCCTCCATTGTTGACCGCGGCAACCATATTGCTCCGCTGCTGCATTGGCCTTTTTCACGTCTTTTGGCAAAAGCAATACTCTGTGCTAAAACAATCATTGGATTCATGACGCTAAAATGCGCTTCCATGATTGAATAGACGGCTAATTCAACTATAGTAGAACAAGAAGACAACTGCCGTCCAGCATTCTGTCATCAACCAAGCTGACTCCATGATCCGTCTTGCTCTCCGGCAAACCAAAACATCTGGAGCCTAATGAAAATTTGATGAGCGGAAGAAATTCATGGCTAGGGGCCTAGGGCAAGAAAAGGAAAAGAAAAAAGAAAAAAGGGGGACGTGGAGAAGTATGATATGACCTACTTATATCTGGGTTTGGCGCGAAGTGGAGGTCCAAGTGGACGTGGAGAAGTATCAGCGGCTCCTACTCTGTGGCTCTAATAAATACTAAACCGAAAATGCCATGGCCAAAAATGTTGCGACTCATCAACGAACGGAACAAGTTAAAAGCTTTCTAGTTTCCCGGCCGACTTCCTGGCCCTGGCCCTGCTCTTAATCAAAAGCGAAGATGGGGTATGCAGTCGTTAGCGGCGGCTTTATACGAAGCTCAAATCAACCCACCACCAGAACCAGATTCCCCACCACAACACTTTCCCATCCAATATCTCTGGCTCCCAGTGGGAACACTACTAGTAGTAGTATTACTACAAGTTATGAATCTCTCAAAATCAAGAAATCAAAGCCAAGAATATCCGCCCTGGCCGAGGTTTCCAGTTTCACTTCTGACCCTGCCCGGGCTGTGGTCACATGGCAAATTGTTGTTGGTGCTTTAGGTACTCGACCTTGACCATGTTTAATTATCTTGGCTTGTTCGGGTGTTCACTCTCTGTCTGTCTGATGAGTGATGTCTGGGGAAAAGATTTTTTTTTTTTTTTTTAAATTATTATTATTATTAGTGTTACTCTCACAATATATGAATACAAACTATTCAAGAAGTCTTGCGTTGTAATTTTTGGCAGCTGGAATTACACCTTTTATGGTTGCTGGAATTGAGTTCGGCAAAAGAATTGTAAGCATTTCCAGGATCCTTCTGTTTATCGTACTACTTTGAATTTTGATGTAGAGAATGGAGTAAATTTGATTAGTACGTAGTATTTACCATCCAGATTTTATTATTGTCGATTGTTATATATGATTGAAAGGAAAAAGGAAGGAAATTTTTTTTTTTTTTTTTAAAAAAGGAGCTTGGTGCGGTAAATTAGTATTATTCGTGCAAATACTAAAGCAAATATCTCTGATACTATGTGTAGGCAAAATAGAAAAGATTACTGAAATGCCTAGTAATAGTCCACGAGGTAGTATTACAGAAAAAAAAAAGAAGAAATGAAAAATTGCAACGTGCAGGTGAAACAGAGGCAATGTGGAGAATGTAAAGGGTCAGGTCTAGTTCTCCGGACTGACCAACAACACATCCGTTGTCCTGCCTGTGGTATCTTCTCTAACCAACTCTCTGTTTTCTTCAAACTGGGAGACACAACCAGAAGAACCTTCATCGCTGTGCATTCTTATTCTCTTTGACTGCATTCCTTTCCTTTCTTGGCAGGTGGATGGCTACCATGGCAGTCTTGGAGAAGATTCTTCACGGGTTAAAATACTATACTTTTCTTGCCTTGAGGATACTTGTGGGGTACATTGTTGAAATGTTGATAGATATGGATGCGGGTACGAGTTTATGGAGTCTGTGGGCTGTGTTTCAAGGAGATTTTATTCATGTAATTCTGGGTTTGGTTCGTACTTCATAGTAGTACACCACATACGGATTGTGACTCCTGTTTTGTGTAACTCAAGGAATTTGCAGTCATGCAACAAAATAACCACATTTGAGGATGTTAGTCTTTTCCCCAGAAAGTATCAGAAGAGGTGACAGACAAATACACCTTCCTCAACCTGTTTAATCGTCAGTCAGTTTGTACATGATGGATGGTAATCTTTCCTTCGATCAATCATGAATTTCGGTACATAAACTCCTGTATCAATGTAAACAAAAGAAAGACTGTAGATGTAGCACAGATGGAACTATTCTCACACTGATGGCGGGGCGGAAAAATTCATCGTGGTGGGTGGCTCCCATGACGAGGTTCTGCCATTTCCAAGTAGTGGTCCCTTTTTATCTTCGATCAGACGTATAAACAACAAATTAATGATTTCAAGATTGCCCGAGGAAAGTGAATGAGTAAGCAGATGGAGGAACGTTCATACCCGGGGAAAATTCTTTCATTAGTTGTCGCCAATCATGATGTTGGGCAGACGACAAGAATCCTGTTAAAATTGACGCTAGCTTTTACTTGAAAATGAGGAAGGGAGATGAGATGGATTTGCTACAAAAACCAAAAGAATTCGAGCACTTTTGAGGGTGCAATGTCAACCTTTACTGTATTCTAATTTACATGGTAACCAATACTATCTTACAGCATGGGCAGCTCTCAAACATAAAACTGGAGAGGCAGGCATTCACAAGTGAACATCGGTTGAATCCTTCGACCATTCACCCACCAAGAATCCCGAAAAAAATAAATGGTGGCATTATTTTTTCACTTTTCCTCCTCGTACTCAGTAACACTTTACGGGCCCAAAATTATTCTTCCAAGATTTTGTGGACATTGGTTTGAAGACCGCAAAGGTGCTGTCCCAAAACCACCGCCTTCGTCCAAATTTTCTTTGGATCCATATAAAGTTATTCCACCATTTACAACACCATAACATGCTGGCAATGTAGATGCTTGAACTACCATTCGAGTAGAAGCAGCTGCACGAACTTGGCTTTGAAGAGGCTCAGAGTTCAGCATTTGTAGCTGAGCATCAGGTCTATGCTCAGCACCATAGCTAATACCAACTCCAAGATCAAGGCTTAGTGGATCATCCTCTTCTGACCTAATTCTTGACATTGCACCCATCGTTGCTGGTCCTGCCATTTCATGGCTACTTGTTCTGGCAGTTGGTACATCATGATTGTGTTTTCCTTCATATGTCGTAATAACTGCTTTGGGATCATGCGATGCTCTTTCAACATGTTTCCTTACTGGACATCCTGCATGAGTGCACTTGTAATAACTCCTGCATCACACCCAAGTGGTGAGTCACAAAATGCTTGGAAGATAATTCCTAGCTAAATGGTAAAACTACACCCATCTCATTTAAGAAAATAGGGTGTGCATGGCAACTGGATAGCAAGGGCCTGGGTATTTTCTGTCAAAAATAAGAAACGCCTAAATGAGGGAATCATACAACTATAACCACCAAAGAAGATAAAAGGAGCAATACCAACTTGCTTATAATCCATAAAACCAAAATCCGATTGCTCAAGACTTGACTTCGCAGAATTCATGGAAGATCAATGATTACAAACAACCAACAGCTCATACATTTAAAAATATAAATAAATAAATGTAAGACAGAAATCTTGCTTAATACTCCATTAAAATACATAAAGAACGCTAGGCCTAATAAATGGAGGTTAGTTCTACAAGCAAAATAATTTTCCTTTATACAATGTGCCGTCTTAGTGATCACAGACCATGTAGTGTCAGAAAAATGTGGACAAGCACTATGTGCAGAGATTGCAACATAGCTTCATCTCATATTGGGAGTAGGTAGTTCAAAATGCAGAACAAAATCGATTCTAAGAAATTTTTTAAACCACTTATATCTCAATTTGTCCTCAACGCCTTGCTAATATGCAGAGAAAATTGGTTGCTAAATTCTATTGATGAAAGAAGCAAAACAACGCATGATCAAGTTCATACTTCTCCAAGTAGAACAGGATATCCCAGAAAAGCCAGCTTCAAAGAGAAGGTACAGTTACTCCATGACACAAATAAACATAAAGTTGAGTTTTTGGATATCAGTTGAAATGGGAGCATGCACATTGTATAATTCAACACCCAATCAAATGCAACCCATCCTTTCAAGCACAAAAATAGAGCAACTTATACAAGTTGAGCCATATCAGATGGTCAACACAGATGTGACACAAGAAGGTATTGATGTATTTGGATATAATGATGCTTCCAGATAATTTTCTGGATTTGGATAAAGGAATCATATACCACCACCAACGTAGTACCTTGTGATGTTCTAAAACAACGCAACTTCTGGGACAAGAGCATAAACAGCAACAATATACTATTAATCTGTATGCACAACAATAAACTTATTATGTACCTAGGATTTGGGTTTCCACGGACCACTTTCTGCCCATATTTACGCCACCGATACCCATCATCCAGTATATCAACCTCGCTTACAGTTTGAACAACAACACGTGGCTCACGGATAGGCTTCACCACTGGTGTAACATCAAGTGAACCATCTAATTTCCTGGTCAAAAATTTTACAGAATTCATAAAACAACCATAGGAGTAAGAATAATACATGGATCTTTTGTGAGATAAAAATACCTCCTCTTTGAAAATGGGTCATCTTCATCAATCTCATCATTAACACACTGCAATTTTGACAGGGTACCATCCAATCCATCATCATTTTCTTGCTGCGGAGATGGCAGAGGAGTGCTATTTGGCTCGACACTGGTATTCTGGCTGTTGACGTTTAGTTTGTCTTTGGCAAGAGAAGCAAACAAGAGAGAAGATATTAATTTACCATTCTTAGACGCATACAGCAAAATAAGGATCAAAAAGTT